TGGTAAAATACTAAGTATTCAGCTCGAAAACTCAACAAAGGTTTCTAAGCTCAAGACATCTAGTTTAGGTGATGCACCTTGCGGACTGTAGCATCACATTCACACTCTCAACTACATGTAATATACTACCTTTAGCTGGTTCTTTCGGCCAAAGATTTGTAAAATCCCAAGAGAAGCACTACAATAAATGGAAGTAAACTTATACTTTTTAATTTAAAATGTATAACTTACCCAATACATATATGCATTGAATTGATAGTACGAATCGACATAGAGCAAGTAGAATATTGTTAATATTTTTTATTTCTAAAATATTTCACTGACCATATACATATATTGGACTAAAAGTATAAATCTAAACAAAAAATGAAAGATTGATTATTTTTTAATTTATAAGACACATAACCTACCACATAAATGAGTATCTTTGAATAAAAATCTAAATCTAAACAGAGAAGCAGAAGATTAATTATATTTAATTTCAAAGACATATAACTTACTAGACATAGGAATATCTTCGAATAAAAATATAAGCCTAAATAAAAAAGGTAGAATATTAATATCTTTAGTTTCAAAGAAACATAACTTACCACATATATGAATATTTTCGAATAAAAATACCAATCTAAATAAAAAAAAGTAGAATCTGATTTTTTTTCGTTTCTAAAATATGTTACTTATCGTCAATATCTCGTTAAGATGAAGTCAAATTATAGTTTAGTTGCAATTTGTAAGTAATAATATTTCGTAGGGTTTGTTAAATGAGAACCCGAAGTTTTTATTAAACGAAATGATGACGGGAAAAAAACGTTTTTTAAATGAAAAGTGTGTATTAATAAAGAATACTTATGTTTTTATGATTCACTACTATCGGACAACTACAACTAGAATAAACCTTCTCTATCAATCAGAGACGTTAAAAAGGATATGAAAAAGAAGGAAATGAAAATCTTTCAAAGTTCAGAAAAATAAAGAGTAGAAAAGAATATTTCAGCATCAAGTACTTTTTCCGCAATAGTGTTCGCAAGGTTAACTTATAGTGAAAACGTTTGCAAACATTTCCTTAGCTTCGGAAACCAATATAGGTTTTCTACAATATCCTTCTTAGATACATAAACTTCGAAAACCTAAAGAGTTTGTGGTAGAATATTTCAAAAACCTAAAAGATATTTGGAAAAACCCATACAAAATTTGGAAACCTTTTGGCAAACCTTTTTGGATTTTCTAAATGGCTTCTGAGCTCGTTTGGATTTTCTTGGAAACTGATTTTTCTTAGAGTATACTATATATGTCTATACATATTGCAATGAACGTACGAATCTATATAAAGAAAAACGAATATTAATATTTTTTATTTGCAAAGTATTTAACTTGCCACGTATGTATGCATATTGAACAAAACGTATTAATCTAAACAGAAAAAGTAGAACATTATTTATTTATATTTTTAAGCTTACACCTTATTATATATATATATATATTTGGAATGAAAATACGAATCTAAATTAAAAAAATAGAATGTTAATATTTTTTATCTGTAAAATATATAGCTTACGGTTACGGTTAACATCTCGCTGTTATGAAGCCAAAGTGTGGTTCAGTTGATATTTGTAAATAATAATATTTTAGCGTTTGTTATATGAAAACCAGAAACTTTTTCGAAGAAACGACGAGCAGAAAAGAAATTTTTGTAAATGAAAAATGTGTATAAATAAAAAATAATGACGGTTTCATGACTAACTACTATCGAAAAATTAGAATTAGAATAAACTCTTTCTGTCAATCAAAACTGTTAAAGAAACATAAAAAAGAATGAAATGAAAACCTTTCTGCAGTGTAAAGAGTGAAAAAGAAAATTCTTTATTTTAACAACAAATAGAGAGGGACGTTGAATGAGATTTTTCTCTTCGGAAAACAATGAACTACAAAGTATTTATACATTATTGCTATATAAATTATTCAAGTCCATTAAAACGAAAAGGATGAAGAGACATTTCTACACTATTTCTAAATAATGGATTAAAACCCACTAGAAATTAATAAATTAAAGAACATTTCTGCATTATTTCGAGAAAATGAATTATAATGCATTAGAAATGAAGAAAAATTGAGAAATAATGCATTAAAACCACCAAAAAATGATTTTTCACGAAATAATGGAAGATAATTAGTCATTTTTGCATTATTTCCAATTATTCGGCTACATGGGTATAATGCATCCATAGTTTATTTTGCGATAGGTATTACTTGTTATTGATGTGAATAACAAATATGACTCACTAGGCACGTATATTTTAATAGGTATATATTGTAGTAGCAAGCGAATTCAAAAGTATGCACATATACATATACGATAAAAGCACATAAAGAGATGTGTGCATTCTACCATAACGATTGCTAAACACATGTGCAATTTTTTCTCTCCCATACTTTTTTACAATCATTATATTTTTTGTCGATAATATTAAATACTGCTCGATTTTTTGTATAATAAAAATACAACATCGCAAAAAAAAATATATATAATACGTGGCAGTGATTTAAGTTAATATTTTCTTTCTTTACAGATTCTTAAACAATCAGCTATCATCGTTGCTATAGTTCTGCTCCTGATCTTTTATTCAGAAGATTTTAAAAGTAAATATCGTCAATAATAATAATAATAATAATAATAATAATCAATTTTAATTCTCTTCTAATCTAGTTCAAGAATAATTTTCGATCCAAAATGAACGACTGGCCACGGTAAAAAATCCCTGCTACTTATCTCGCCTACTCTTGTTTTTTCGAAGTTTACTTTATTTTCTATTTAATATTCTTTTTTTTTCTGTAGTATAAAATCGATCATTGTTCGTACAATGTGGTGTCTCTTTATAATTTGGATTTTAGCGGTTTTCACTGGTTTCATCTTTACATTTTTACCAAGACATGAGAATAGTCAGAGTGGTCTTATTGGCTTTACTGATGATTCAGGTACAGATGAAGAAATGACTTTTATATGTAAAGAGATATTTTAAAAATGTGAAATCATGCATTCGAATTAATACTATATCAAATCGATAGGCTTAAATCAGATCGGAGAGACAAACAATATAAAACAGTTGTCGTTACTTATCAATTAGTATTAATTTAATATAATATTATATAAAAAAATGGATTTGGCATATTGAAAGATTTTCTTATTTGCTTTATTGTTGTAGTTTCAATCCAGTTAAATCTTAATTATAAGACGAGTATTCAGAACAATGGTTCGCTGAATGTTTCAAATCTATCTGACCTAGCAACACAGGTAACCACATCTGTATCAATTCGAGTAAATTTACAAGATATTTTTCTTTGAAGATTGCCGATACATATAGTGTATCACATAAAACTATTCGAGTATTTTCTGCGAGATTTGTTCAAAGTCTCATAATAACACGGCGCAAACGAGAAATGTAAGTATTTTTTTTTATTATTTTATTTTACCATTATCGAAGATATACAAGTTAAACGTGTGAGGGAGACTAGCAAAATGTGAGCGAAAGTATCATACTTTGAATTTAGTTTTTGAGCTTGATACTACTAAACATGACATATTTATATGGTAAAACTATTTGATATATTTTTCATTATTAAAAAAGAAGGAATATAATTAAAGCATAGATGATACAAAATTCTTGTCTTATCTTAGATGACTCTTCACAGTTACGAAATTAACATGATTCTACTTCTGCTAGACTTTAATTCTGAAAATCTAATTATTTAAATGAATTAGATATTAAAAACAAACAATGTAACAAGGATGCTAGAGCACTCCTACATGAAAAACATGTCCGTAAGACTTCGATTGAAATGCCTGTCGATATGAATTAAAAATATATTAGAAGTGAATTTTTTATTGTTTTAATAATGTATTTTTGTTTTAGTGTATCAACTGACGTGAATGCGACTAGCCAAACTGAAAATCTGTTTATAATTGGAATCGAAATCAGATACCCGTCCACATGTGATGGTGTAATAATATGCAACAATCGTTTTATTAATGGTTTCCGCAGAACGGTTCAGTTAGGTCCATCACAACTCACTTTCGTTGTGTCATTTACCAACGGTATCACATTACATATTAATACTATTTTTGATTCGCTAAGCACGATAATCATCTACAACACAACGGGCACAACAATGACTAGTAAGAACTTTTCCTCATTTTTACTAAAGTAGTTTCATATATACTCATCTTCTGTATGAGATTCATTGTAGTACTGACGTAGATTGGAAATATTTTGAAAATGTTAAAGGTTGTTAGACTGCTCACTAACGAGAGACTTACTCCAACTGATTCCGCGCGTTTGAGTTCGGACTTCGTGCATAAGACAGATCCCAATGAGGTATTAGATAAAATATATATTTGTTCTGTGATTAATCAATAAAAAGAATAAGAAATATGCTGGAAAAAAACGGAATAGTTATATTTACTTACTAGAAAATGATATTCAGCGGAATATGAAAGATGTTAACCATACATATAATAAGTTAAATTAGCAGACAATACATTTTCAATGATAACTCTTCAAGTAGACTAAACTTAACATGCGCTCTATTTAATATTAGATCCATAAAATCCTTTTTTGAAATAAATTATTGTCGTTTGTATAGCAACGACAACTTCTACAACTACAAGCACAATTACACCCACACCCTTAACTAGCTACACCACAACCATAACATCAACTGGTAGCAGCACCACGACAACATCAACTAGCAGCAGTACAACGTCAACTGAGAGCAGTACCACGACAACGACAACTAGTAGCAGCACAACGACAACATCAACAAGCACAACCACAACGACAGCGACAACATCAACTACTAGCAGCACAACCACAAC